TGGGACCATCTCTATATTTCTTATAGTTTGACCTGTAATATGACCATTCCGAATTGTCCCAAATTTTGTATACCACGTGACTAATATTTATAATAAAGTATGCTGCAGATGCGCAGTATATGAGGCTATTAAATCCATTTTACAGAATTAAATTATCTCATTTAGTTAAAGAATGGCATCAATTACCGCACGGCGGGAATCACTTGACCGCCCTATTATGTCACTCAAAGAAAAACAAGAAATATCTCCAAAATGTGAAACAAGAGAACAAAAACAACAGCAACAGTCAAATCACTCTATTAGTAACACTGATAATTCAACCCACGGTTAGTTTATTTTAAAACCAAAGTTACATTATAGTGAAATTGATTTAATAGATGACAACAATTTGGGTGAAAATTCTGTTATGGAGCGGAAAGGGAGGCATGAGTTGGGATCAGTTGATAATGTGAAGCATATATTAGACAAAACTGATAACACAAGTGATGATAACATAAATGATATGAATATTTCAAGTGATGCCAACCATAAAACACAATTCAATTCATTAATTCAATCGATGACCAGCCATAGCAAAACTACACTAACTACACAAACAACTGATGGTAATTTTATAAATTGTATTTATTAATAGTTATGAATTAATTTTCTATTATAAGCAACAGATAAACAAACACTTTCAATAAACTCAATATTAACACCAAATGAAAGCGAGAATATATGTGAATATAAAAGTGATGACAATGTAATACAACCGATGGCCAGTCATAGCACAGGTAATATAGCCATGAGAGCTCGAGATTGTAGTTTTAATTCATTTTAATTATAATAAGTTTATAAGTATTGTATTTATGTTACGAATAGACAAACAAACAGTGGTTACAAATCTTGGATCACAACTAGTGTTGAAACCTGTTATAGTAGAAACTGATGGTAAATCAATAGGCAATTAATTTATAACTATTTATTAAAAAACCAAAATAACTATGATCACAAACAGACCATGCTATGGTTACATCAAACAAAAAACCATGGTCAATACAAACTACTGACGGGGAGACACCATCTGTAGAGACACCGGTGCAGGCGTTGCAAACATCACTCGATCCGACCCGAGTGTCACCGGAAGAGAATCCGAGGTTTCTATTGGAGGACAACACGAGTCACACAATAAGTGTTGAGACGATACCAAACAGTGTTATAAATAATTTGCAACAAAATTATGAATACAATACTAATAACAAACAACATATGCATAACGCGTATAACACTGTCACTCAACACAACTCAGATTCCGGTTCTCAACCAAACAGAAACTCCAATGCCTTGACTTCGGCCGACACTCTGTCTGACCGTTTTGGTCGACGCCATGAGACTAATCAAAGGCATGACTTCAACGATGACTTGAATATTAATGCAAATAATGTTATAATTAATGAGATGTCGAGCAATGGAAATAATAAAACACAATCCAATCAATTAATACAACCGCTGGTCAGTCATAGCAAAAGTATAAACACAACGAAAACAATTGAAGGTAATTTTAGTTCACTTATAATCAAAATTCAGTTTAAATAATATAATCTTATATATTCATACAAAATTGAAAATTGCTAAACTAGAAATTTAATTGATTTTTACACATTCAAAAATGTAATTAAATTAAAACTACTGTGCCATTCTTTGTATTAATTATTCATATGATTATTAATCTAGAAAAGCATTCTTAGCTGTTGAAAATAATGTTATCTTATTCATGATAAAACTTATTTATGACATTAAACTTTAACATTGAAAAATGTATTTCAACTTGTTAAAAAACATTCATTTTTGTGATTTTTATATCAAATCATATTAAATACTATAAATAAGTTTTAACATTATTTTCAACGGCTAAGAATGCTTTTCTAGATTAATAATCATATCATGTTATTTTACAGGTGATGACAATCATGGTGATAAAAACTATTATCAAGATCTTTTTATGGATTGGAAAGAGCTGGGTAAAGGTGGTTATGGCACAGTTTATAAAGTGGTGCATACATTAGATGGCGGAGAGTATGCAATAAAAGTAGTCAAATTTAACGGTAATATTTGGCACACAATTAGTTCACTTGTAATAAAAATTTGTTATAAAATATTGCAGAAACCAGTGCTGAGCACAAACATCGAGTGTTAAATGAGGTGAAAAGTTTGGTAAAAGTGCGCTCACAATATGTGGTCCAGTATTACAACTCATGGCTCGACAACAATCTGTTGTACATTCTTATGGAGTATTGCCCGCAAAGTCTGCGGTCAGTGCTTACGGATAAAAGGCTGGCATTTGGCAGACAATCGGCGGAACCGATGAATGCGTTCGAGTATTACATGTCGTGCGAGATATTCAAAGAGCTCTTACAGTGTGTCCAGTATTTACATGAGAGGAGTCCACAGATAATACATCGCGATCTCAATCCGGACAACGTATTGATTGCACATAATCTAAACAGCGATAATAACAGGTGCATTAAACTATGCGATTTTGGCCTTGCTACTTTACACGATCCGGATAGACACTATAGAACTAAGTATAGGCATACGAATGATGTAGGCACAGTAAGTTACCAAGCACCCGAAGTGGCCGTTAATAAAAAGTATGGACACAAATCAGATGTCTATAGTGTGGCCCTAATTGGGGGCGAGATATTTGATGTCGATCTATATGTTAGGTATTATAACATAATCTGTAATTGTGTTTAGTTTATGACTATTTAATATTTTGTAATTATATTATCAGGAATTTAGTGGCCTATCCGAGTGATCACGTGTTAAAAACATCGGTTGAATGTTTGCACCGTAGGTTGCAGTCAATGACGGCCACCATTTGGGACGATAGGCCAGAGTGTCGGGAAGTGTTGGCCAAACATAACGAATGGTCAATCAATAAGTCTGTTATCACAAGTCATAAGGATTTCAATGCAACACTAAATACTCTTAAGTCTAATGAGAAATCATTTTTCTACAACTTTTTATTGTTTAAAACAAATTAATATTTATTTATTTAATATTTAGTCACATGACAAATATTTTACATTCTGTTTCTGAATATCTCCCAAATCAAATATACAAGATACATGTTGTAAATTGTAAAATAAAGTTGCATATTTATATTCTTATATAAGAATGGAGAATATACGATAATATCAATATGTTGTATAAAACTGTGTGACTTTGGTTTAGCCACCGATCACGACATCAATAGAGATACGGGCAACCGATACGAGCACTCAGTTGTGGGCAGTATTGCATATATGGCACCGGAAGTCACTTCGAGGAGTAAATATAATCATAAATCAGACATTTATTCCCTCTCTTTAATCGGTCAGCAGTTGTTTGCTATCGATCTTCAGGCGTAAGAGTTTTATCACAGAAAATACTAAAACATTATTTTTAGTCAAAAGTTATTACAGTTTTTGTTTTATTAATTTAAAGCTCGCAATCATTTGATGCCAAAGAATCGGTATTCAAGACATCAATACTAAGTCTATACCAGACATTAGCGGCAATGATGTCAACACCCAATTGGCGACAACGGCCTGAGTGTCGGCAAGTGTTGGCCAAATATAACGAGTGGTCTATCGATAAAACTGTTATAACAAACGATAGGCATTTCAAGAAAGTGTTACATAAACTCAAATCTAATGATAATTCAGTTTTCTATGAGATTTTAATGTGTAAATTAAATAATACCGAAGTGTCAGCTCAACTGTTCCCTCGTATACAACGCCCACCCGTTTATAGTAATAATATTTTTAATATTACTAATTTATATGTAATAATGTGTATTATTGTTGCATTTGTAATTAATTGGGTGTATGTCATTAGTTTAAAACCATAACAAATGAAATTGTATATTTTTCTCACTCCTTAGCCAAACAATATACAGTATTATTAAACTCAACAGAAAATATATTTAGTTTATTTGTAATAATATCTGATAAAATAATTATAATATCTATGATTGTACCAAATGCAATGTTAAATCGATGTGTATTTCTAAACCAACATTAGTAATAAATAGATTAGAAAAATATATTGTCGTGACTATACTTTTGTTGACATATAAATCAATGTAACAATACTAAATAATTTAATTAATTGTTACGCCCTTATTATATTTTACCATAATACAGTTACACCTAATTTTAATTAAATTTTATCGAATTTTATTTAGAAAAATCATTAAAAATATCTTATAAAAACATAAATACTAATAAATACTTTATTGTAAATATGTTTATATCAGTCATAACACAAAATCAGTTGAAATAAAGTTATAAATAATTTATTACTTGTATTTTAAAAAGTAATTTATAGTTAAATTTAATAAGTACTAAAGTTTAATAACTAAACAATTCCGTAGTTAAGCATTAAGTTTAATTAAAACCATCGTTTATTAAAAATCTAAAACTTTTAACAATTTTACTAAAAAGTGAGAAACAATTATAATATAAATTTTACAAAATATATAATCAACGTCATTATTAAAATGCCGAGTACAACTCATGATTGCTATTGTGGTACAATATTTTCAAAATGTAGTATCAATACTGACTATACGTGCGATTATTGTATATTGGGATATAAATATTTTAGTGCATTTACTTTGGGTAATCCAAATAGTTTCACTAATAGTAGACTATTTATGTATATACGCACTAATATGACCAGGATGTTTAGAAATAATTATGATTATTTAATTACTCTAAACACTAGTCTTAGCAACTCTGCAAGTTTATCAGCATATGATAAACAATGGTGCTAAGTGTTTCGATGATGGTGTAACACACCAATCATGTGTTGATAAATGTTACATGAACAAATATTTTGTTGAATATTTCTCATATCCAATAAACTATTTATATACGAATAACAGTATTAATTTTAACCATAATCATAATGATGGTTATTATTTTACCGCTAACGACAATAATAAGATAATAATGTTAAAGATGAATGCGAAACACATGCGACCAAATGGATGAGTGTATACAACATTATTATACAATTGACAAAACAGAGTTCAATAGACAACATATTAAATCCAATACTTATAACATGGGGTTTAAAATACCGTCGGAGCCGGAAATGAGATACACCATAACGAGACTAATGTTGACCAATACCTATGAATTATGGGCAGTATTTTCGGTGTGGTTTGGCTTTTAGTTATTGATGTTCACAACATTTTTGAAACAGTGGTTTATAAAATATGCAGTGAATATGTTTTGTAAACGTAGTGTTAATCATGGTGATGTCTATTACGTTACAAAATTTTCAAAGTGGAAAATAAGAGTAATTATAAAACATTTAAAAATAAATATTTTAGTATATTCACTTAGGATAACCAAAATAGTCTCACTAATAGTACATGTACAGTATACAGTGTAGGCACCCTATTTGTGAAAGATTATACATGCTATAATATATTTAATTTTACAAGAAAGTAACTGATAATGATCTTTATTCTAGTATATAAATTTAAGGATGTGTATCTCATGTAACTAA